GAGCACCACCTCTCACGTACACCCCCACCCACAGGGACCATCTCCCACGCGTACCCCCACCCACGGGCGCCATCTCCCACACACACCCCCACCCACGGGCGCCATCTCCCATGCGTACCCACACCCACGGCGCCATCTCCCACGCGTACCCACACCCAAGGGTGCCATCTCCCACACATACCTACACCCAAGGGCACCATCTGCCACGCATACCCCCACCCACAGGCACCATCTCCCATGCACCCCTACCCACGGGCACCATCTCCCACATCCACCCCCACCCACGGGCGCCATGTCCCATGCACACAGCCCACATACAGCTGCCACATGCTCCTGGCCAGCACTGGTGGAAAATCCTTTATCCAAGATACTTGTGACTAGTGTTTGGATTTTTCAGATTTCGGAATATTCTCATAAACATAATGAGATATCTTGGGGAGGGGACCGAAGCCGAAACAAAAAATCATTTATTTCCGGAAACACCTAATATACTAAAATTATTTTTAATAACTTTATGCACAAAGCCAAGTTTTGACTGTCTTGACTGAGACCCACTGAATGAGGCTAGGTGTGGAATACTCATTACAGTGTTATGGGGCAGTCAAAACAGTGTAGACTTGGGTCATTTCTGAATCTCAGGTTAGGGATGCTGAACTGTCTGATGGGTGCCAAGAGGCACAAAACAAGGGCTTGGGAGGGTGCCTGGTAAATCTCTCATTAGCTCTGGGCAGGCTAGGTTGTGGTCACATCAAAATGCTCAAAAAATTGTCATGAGAGCCTGTGGGCACAGACAAAAAAGTCTAGAACAAAAATCTTTCATAGTTAAGTATTCAACAAATGAGGGAAAGCACAGTGAAACCCAGGAAGGGGGAGGGAAGGCTGGGGCACCACAGGCTTCTGACCCTCCACAAACAAATCAGCACTTGGGGCAGGGGAGGGAAGGAGGAAACGGGGGGGGAAGGAAGGAAGAAAAATGTTCTAAAATTTAATCTGAAGAACAAACTAAAATGCCTAAGAGCCCTGTTGCTACCAGTGGAGAGCAGAGACTGCAGGGCAGGTGGGCAAGGACTGGCCAGAAGCACACAGAGGGCCAGCAAGGGCAGGTGGGCAGGACAGAGGAGCGTGCTGGGGACTGCCAAAAATGGTAGGCAGACTCCTGGGTACCAGTGTGCCATCAGGCAGAGCCCGGACCACCCCTGTCTCAGGGATACTCCAAAAACTCCCATAAGAAGTTAAAAGTAGGCTCGGCGCCTATAGCTCAACCGGCTAAGGCGCCAGCCACGTACACCTAAGGTGGTGGGTTTGAATCCCCAGCCTGGACCCGCCAAACAACAATGACAGCTGCAACCAAAAAAAAATAGCCGGGTGTTGTGGCGGGCGCCT